CCGGTCAGCCTACCTCCTCCCCAACTTCAGCTACTCAACACCCCACCCCACGCTTCAGACCCCGTCTCTTAAGTCCCTGCAGAACCCACTGAGGGAGCAAATGCTTCCTGTTCCAGAAAAAATAGTTTCAGCCATACGTGAATACTGTTAAGTCACGCGGCGCAGGGGACGTCCTAGAAACACAGATTCCCCAAAGATGGAAAGCAGCGTCCCACTGCATGCTGGCCCTCACAGCTGCCCTGAGCCCGCAGCCCACCCTCACTCCTCTCTCTCCTCTTGGATGAAGTAGCTTTTCCGTTCCAAGTTGAATGACCAGGGAAATGAAAACTACAGGCACAAGGCAACACTGCTCCCGACCGCCTGGCCGCACCGAGTGAGCGAGGAGGAGGGACAGTGAGCTCCCCCCGCGAGCGCAGCTCAGCCCTGGAGGACGAGGCGAAGGTGCAGGAAACGGAAGCTGCGTCCACACCAGCGGCCAGCCAGGGCCCCTCCCCGAGAAAACCCGGCGCCTGCAGCTTTCGCCGCGGGGGTGGCAGGGGTGTGGGGAGGAGGTGGCTGCCCGCCTGCAGGGCTGGCTCGGGCACTGACCCGGTGCAGTCAAGAGACAGGGCACACACCGCAGTAAAAATGAATGACCGGCAGCTACGTGTATCCACAGGGGCGACCCAGCAACACCTGAGTGCAGCAGGATACACAGAGAACGAAACGCCTACGCACAGCTGCTACTGTCTAGAGACACTGACGGGCCAAAGCTCGACCGCGACAGGGACGCTCTCGGGCAAGGCAGGGCAGGGAACAGAGCAGGACAACACGGGCCGCCGCCGGCATTTACTACACGTGAGGGCTGCCGCGTTAGTCTCGGCACATCTCTGGTTTTAAAAAATACTTCGCGTTTCTGAGGCTGCCTCTCATCATCGTCAGCGGTGCCCTGCGCCAGCGGGCGGGCCTGTAACCCCCCGCCTTCCGCGCCTTGTGTCCCTGACGTGGGAACAGCACCGCCCGCTCCCCACGAGGGGCTCTGCATCGTCAGTGACGTCCGTGCTGAGAAAATAAAATGGCCCTGCCCAGTGTGGCTCAGCTGGCTGGAGCGTCACCCTGTGCCCCAAAGGGGCACACACCCAGGTTGTGGGTTGGACCCCCGCTCGGGGCACGTACAGGAGGAAACCAGCTGACGTTTCTCTCTCACATCAATGCTCTCTCTCTCCCTGTCCCTTCTTCTCGCTCTAAAATCAATAAAAGCATATCCTCCTGTGAGAATTAAAAATAAAAAGAATATTGACTTACTTGAGTCCAGTCTTCACAAACTTCTGCCAATCACCAGGATCCACGTCATTAAGTGAACTCTGTGAGTAAAGTAAGTGAGAAATACACATAAAACACCTCAATTTAGAAGAGAGGGCATGGAACTAAAATTAGAGCTGTTCCATAAATGTGGAAGGCAGTTACCCAAACAGGCGAGAAAACACGCCCTTGCTTATTATTTTGGTTTTTAAAATTGTCTCACAGGCGTGCCTGCAGCCGTGTAACACACCCTGCTCGCCACGGGGAAGGGGTCTCCCAGAGCCCTGGTGCGTCCCTGTCTGCCTTCCCAGCCAGCACTCAGGGCGCACAGCCCACAGGGCTGGCCACATGGCTGTTTCCATCCGTGTGCCCGGGGAGGCCACGCCACCCCCACAGGCCCCGTGTGGGTCACAGTCCCTGACGTGCACNCCGTGTGGGTCACAGTCCCTGACATGCACGAACCTCCAAATGTGCTCTGATGTTAGCCCGGGGGAGGGAGGGGACGGACGGGGACAGAGCGCAGGGACTCTCCAGAGGACGAGGGTCTTGGGCAGAAGTGCGGGTGCCAGGGCAGGGTGCTAGGAGCTTACGTCACACAGGAAAGCATACGTCGNCGCCCCAGCACTGAGCTGTGCACCTAGGAGCTTACGTCACACAGGAAAGCACACGTCGGGCCCTGGCCGTGGGGCTCGGCTGGGTGCCGTCCTGACACACCGAGGACTAGGGCTCGATCCCCAGTCGGGGCACATACAAGAATCAACGACGACTGCACAAACGGGTGGAACAACAAGTCGACGTCTGTCTTTCTCTCCAAAGTCAATTTTTAAAAGAGAAAATATAATTCTATTACAAGAAAAGGGGTGGGGGGGTGTTGGTGGTGGGGGAGGCTGTGTGTGTTGGTGGGGTTGGAGCAGAGAGTAAATGGAAAATCTCTATACTTTACATTCAATTTTGCTGTGGACCTAAAACTGCTCTGGGAAGGGGGGTGGGGAGGCCTAATAAAAAGGAAAAAAAGGAGAGAAATAGAGTGGGGTGAGGAGGAAGGCTGGGAGCACACAGGCCCCTAAGAGCACAGCCTGTCCCTCGGCCGGCCGGCGGCTGGGGGCTGACAGAGGAGCCGCGGAGGGACATTCGCTGTGACAGTGTCCGTGGGGACCCCTGCTCCTCCACAGCTCACATCTCCCCGGACTCAGGGACGCCCCTCCTCCTCCCAGTCGCCATGTTGGGTGGTTGTGAGCCAGCCTTACATGCACGAGCCCGCAACCCACGAGTCGAGGCTGAAATACAGGCGATAACGCCTTATACCAATATGCAGACACACGGCTTCATCTGTAGCCTACGAATACGTTTACCCTCACTTAACTCACCCGGGTCATGTTCCTGAGGATCACCTTTTATGTCTTGGGTTCAGAGTTTAAACATAAGTCACAGATTTTATGACTTCTTTTTTTTAGATTTTATGACTTTTAACAGAATTTTCACTGTGCCCTGAGGTGTAACTCATGTTAGCTTTCAGAATGCTAATTATTTCCATGCAAAAATATAACATTAAAAAAAAACCCCACTCCAATAGAAGGGTATATGGTCAAAAATAAATATTTCCACATTTTATGGAAACTCTAAATTCAGAGACAACAAGCTCGCTGAACCCAAAGCTCAGGAAACTTGAACTACACTAAGGCACATCATATTTAAATTGCTTTGACCACTATAAAATTCTAAAAGCCGCCAGAGAAAAAGGGCATAATATAGAGGAACAAAGAAAAGAATGATGGATTTCTCATCAAAAGCAATGCACACCAGACGACAACACAGCAACACCTTTAAAATGCTTACAGAAAACAGAAAACCTAGAATTTTATACCCGGTGAGACTCTTCCCAACACATTCTGAGGGCAGTGTTACCTGACCCTAAAACCAAACAAAGACGTTGCAAGAAGTTAAAATTAAAAGTATCCCTCATACACACGGACGCAAAAGTTCTTAATTAAACACTAGCACAAGTCCAACAATATCTAAAAACAGTAATTCCCCAGGACCCCAGGAATGCAAGGTTGGTTTAACATTTAAAGATCAATTGGTATAATTCACCTTACTGACAGACTAAGCAAAAAGAATAAACCAAATAACCATCTCAGGAGATGCACCAAAGTGACCACGTCAACATCCAGTCCTGAGGACTCCTGGCCACAGGGGTTGCCCCACCGGCCACCAGGCCTCCCAGACACAGTGCCTCTTATTCTCCACCAGCCCCACTCATGGCCCCTGGTTACAGTGTATCTGTCAGCCTCCCAGACACAGTGCCTCTTATTCTCCACCAGCCCCACTCATGGCCCCTGGTTACAGTGTATCTGTCAGCCTTGGTCTGTCTTTCTCTGTCCCTTAAATATTTAACCAGGCCCGGCCGGGTGTGGCTCACGGCTGAGCATCGACCTGGGATCCAGGAGACTGAGGTTTGATTCCGGGTCAGGGCACAGGCCCGGGTTGCAGACTCGATCCCCAGCAGGGGGCGGGCAGGAGGCAGCCGGTCTATGACTCTAATCATTGATGTTTCTCTCTCTCCCTCTCCCTTCCTCTCACTGAAATCAATAAAGATATATTAGAAAAAAAAGAAATTTAACNCAATAAAGGTATATTAGAAAAAAAAAAATTTAACCAGGACTCTAAGGAAAGGCAGGAAGGACACCTACCAACAGCNGAAAAAAAAGAAATTTAACCAGGACTCTAAGGAAAGGCAGGAAGGACACCTACCAACAGCTGGTTTAGCCTCAGCAGCATCTGCTCCTCCTGACTCTGGGCATCGCCTTGGTCTCGCTGACGGCCACTGAAGGACCCAACCAGCCACTTCATACAGGACTCCAGCAGCGTCTCCTTCCAGACGTGCAGCTCTTCTGCCGACCCCTCCAGGGCGGCTGAGACAGAGTCGGCCAGGATCCAACTGCAGCAGAAGACGAGTCTCAGAGTCAAAGAAGGTGGCCCATGCCTCTAGCTTTAAGTATAACCCACGTGACAATGGGCTGGACGCCCGCGTCCTGCTCCCTGTGCTACCCAAGCCTTCCCCTGCCCCTTGTCAAATATGACCGATGGGCCAGAGCTCACAGCCGGGGGAGCGATACGAGCCCACCAGAGAAAGGACAGTGTCCAGACTCTGTCTAAGTCAGGCTGACTCAGCCTCAGCACTCCTGACACCTAGAGACAGGTCATTCCTTCTTGCAGGGGGAGGGAGGGTAAGTGGGGGCTGTCCGACGCATTAAGGGACATTCGGCAGCACCTTTGGCTTCCACCCTCCTGATGTCAGAAGCAACACCCCCACCTGTGGTAATAAAAGACGTCAGGCATTGCCCACTGCCCCCTGGAGGGGCCGAAACCACCCCCGGCTGAGAACCACTATTCACAGGGAATCTGGAAGATTCCTGGGATGGCTGGAAGGTTCCTCAGGAGCTGGCGTCTCCCAGGCCAGCACCACAAGGACCTCTCGCCAGCTCACACGTGCCACAGGGCAAAGGCAGCTGGGGAGTGGCCCCCAAACACCCTGAGCCCTGTACCTCCTGGGACTGTCTGGAGTCTGAAGTAAGCTGGGCAAACGGTCCCTGAGTACACCAAGGTCCTTGGCTCTTGCAAATGGGACCAGCTGGGCCAGGATTTCCGGATGCAGCCCAGACTCTGGGGGCCCATCGGCACTGAGGAGCCTCGTCTGCAGCGGCCTCCACAGGGCCTTCCTCAGGATCAGGAGGACAGCCGAGGGCACTGGCAGACACAGAGGGAGAGACTGTCACACAGGGTGTGCGGAGACAGTGCAACGGCTCTGAGAGCCCACGGTTAGGCCCCAGGAATCTCGTAACTGGCAGATGTCACACGGTAGCCTGAGACCGGCCGTGGCAGGAGGGGTGGCCGTGGAGACTGGCAGATGCTACGTGTTGGTGCCCCCACCCCCCACCCCGGGAGCCAGCTCTAAGGCGTTAGCAGCACCACCGTCCAGCCCTCTCACAGGGACTCTTCAACCCAGGGGCCGCGGTGTCACCCCAGCTCGAAGCCCACAGTCAGGCTGGGAGCACGAACACTCTGGGCTCACACAGACCCACTGGGCAGAGCACAGGGATGGGGGCTACGTGACGGGTGCATAAAGAACCACCAACTGGACAGCCCGTTCTCGGGGCCCGAACCTTAAAAACACCTGTCGTCGCTGATACGAAATTACTGAAGACAGAAGCAGCGCAGTGAGTGAAAACCACCCACTCGTACAAAGGAATTAACTCTGAGGTGATCAAAAGGTGCCTCCATTTACACAGCGGAATACTATGCAGCCGTGAAAAAGATTTCTTACTCTTCGCAACAGTATGAAAAACCTACAGATTATTATGCTGCGTGAAATAAGCCAGTCAGAAAAAGACAAACATCACGTGACCTCATTTATACGTGGAATCTAACAAACAAAATAAACTGGTCAACAGAACAGGTCCAGAGGCATGGAAGCACGGAACAGACTGAGGATCTCAGGAAAGGGGGAGTGGGGGTGGGAAGAGATGAACAAAGAACCTGTCTGTATATTCACAAACCCACGAACCGACAACGGTGTGAGGAAGGCCCGGGGGGAGTAACACCTATAATACTCTCAACAGCAACAAAAAGTGCCCTGACCTGGAACCCAAGCCGGTGGAGAAAGAAGAGCTGGGCCCGAAATGCCTCGACTCAGTACCACCACCCAGTCCTGATGGTAGGGACGATCACCCGAGTGACGCCTTAGCCTAACAAGGCCCAGCCCGCATACTGGTCCTCCGGATGGTCCCCAGCTACTGCCCACACCTCAGGCCACAGGTCAAAAGTCAGGGACGGTGGTGCTGAGCACAAAGTTGTCACTTTCCTGCATCTGCAAAGCTGAGTCAGACGCTGGAGGAGAGAGAACTGAACCACCCCTAGCACACAGGTCCCAGGGCCTACAACTGGACAGGCCCATCCTGGCATCAGATTCCCAGCCGCCCAGAGCGCCCTCTCCCATACCTGCTGCTGGGCGGGTGAAGTGCCCCCGGGTCCGGCGCTGGAGGTACACGTGCACAAGGGGGAGGAAGTCCTCGAGGCCCTCCTGCAGGCGGAGCCCCGCGCCCGGCTGTCGGCACCACAGCTCCAGCCGCAGCAGGTGGGTCCAGCTCTGCTGCACCAGCAGGGCGGCAATGCCCAGGGCTGCCTGTGTGCGCCGGGCCAGGCAGTAGTCGAGCAGACTGACCCGGACCACGGGGGCCAGCTCCGGCTCTCTCTGCAGGGACTGCAGGAACACGGTGTCCAGCTCATCCACCGCCAATGTGGGCAGCAGAGCCCCCAAGCCTTTCACGTACTCAGAGGCCCAGAGGAGCTCGCTGCTCAGCAGTGGACCCTGGGGGCTGCTCGTCAACAGCTGGACCAGGGTCTTGCCGAGAGTGCTCAAACGTCTCTCCTTCCCGGGGGATGTCGTGGGGCGCTGGGCCACCAGGTGGACCTCGGGCAGGCTCAGCAGGGCCAGGGTGACCTCTCGGAGCTGGGCGCCCTCCATGTACAAGTGCAGCCCCTGCAGGGCCTCCAGCTGTGGGAAGGCCTTTGGTGGCGACGTGGCCAGGCCCTCCTTTCTCTTCCGCAGCTCTTTCAACACACTCTGGGTGATGGCGTCCGAGTACCGGGCCAGGAGGCCCAGCTGGCCGAGGCTCTGAAGGATGGGGGCGCTAACCATCAGCAGAGGCAGGAGCCCCGCACTGAGTTGGGCCGCCAGCAGCTTCACGAGGACGGGGCTAAGCGAGTGCGGGGGAAGGGCCTGCTGCTCCAGGGCCAGGTACCAGCCCTCCAGCGTGGGGTGTCGGAGGGTGGCCACCAGCACCTCCTCCAGGGTCTGAAAGACAGAGACAGGCAGACCTCACAGGAAGCCCAGGGCCAGCAGAGCTTCTCGGAGCACCCACAGCGCTCGGTGGGGGACTGCTTGCAGGCAGGGTGACTGTGAGCACAGAGGTGACTGGGAAGACGACGCCCGAGGTCACCATGCTTGCCTCTGGGGGAGGGTCGGGGTGGCTTTACGTCTCCTACATTCCCTGCACATCCCTGTTTCCCTGCAGGGGACACACATTTGCTTTAATCGGGAGTGAGGGGCCGCAGGTGACGGACTTCCCAGGAAAGGCCAACGGGCAGGAGACACACGGTACCTTGTCGTCGGCCAGCTCCAGCAAGGCCACGGACTCCATGTCCAGGAAGAGGTCGGACTCAGCCTGCACGGCTGCGTATTTCTGCCGGTTCTGGGCGTCCAGCTGCTTGCAGTGCAGGACCAGGTGCCGCAGGAGGTCCAGGAACAGCTGCAGGAGGGGTGGCCCTGTGCCTCTGCCCAGCTGTGGGATGAGCCACACAACCCTCAGACCGGGGAGGGGCTGCAGGTCACCAGTCAGTGCCAGGCCCCTCTATGACCAGAAGGTGCGATGTCACCACTAACAAGGGCCAAGGACAGAGTGGCAACTGCTCAAAAAACGCTGAAAACCAAAAATTCGTTTCCCAGTAAGACTCGGCCCCTACATCCTGGTGAAACGCACAGGTTTATTTTACCAAACGAGAAGGCCCACCTGAAACCTAAGCTAGAGCTCTGTGACCCACATCAGGGAAAGAAAGCTCACTGACAAACTACTGAATGGGAACTTCTAACAGAGGGAACCCTGGCAGTGCCTCGGGCCCACCCCAGGTAGGAAGGGCCTGTCCTGCCCAGCAGCTGCCCAGGGACAAGGCTCAGCGGCATGTGGCTCCTGTCTGCAGCTGACGAGGGGCTCGCTGGGTTTGCAAGTGAGGCCTGGAGAAAAAGTGCACAACCCGTGTTTGTGTCACTACACGTCTGCCCAGGGGAAGAGGCAGCTGGGACGGGCACTCGAGGGGCGGCCTGACCCGCAGCCCTGCGTGGACGGGGCGGCGTGTGGCCCCAGGGCTCCCNGAACCAGCTCCCCAGGCCTCGAGGGGCGGCCTGACCCGCAGCCCTGCGTGGACGGGGCGGCGTGTGGCCCCAGGGCTCCCCGGCGCCGTCAGTGGGGGGCCCGCCGGAGGGAGCTCACCTGGCCGAAGCGCTCCACGGTGCTCCGCAGGCACAGCAGCACGTGCGTCACCGCGCGCAGGAC